AAAACGTTTGTTTCACTTCTGCGTAAAACTTTTGCGATCCCTATTGTCCATTCTTGTGCAATTTTGTTCCACTGCTCGCTAATTTTTTGGTAACAACCCAATTCATTTCTGCCGATAATTCACTTCCGTGCTCGACGGCCCGCGTCGACTGGTCAGGAGCTGCCGGGTTGCCGCCTTCGGTGCGATGCTGCATGCGATGGACAATGGCAGCGTTGCTTAACTTATCACACGGGGTCCTCGTCGACGAAATAACACGGTGATCTCGAAATTCTCTGCATGACGAGGTTTGGTGGATATCAGTCTTATCCACTGATCTCGTTATGTCCAGGAAAGTCGTGTGATTAGCTGGACTTCGACGCGCAGAACGTTTCTTCCATGCTCCGCTGGGCTTTTGTGCTGATCTTTTAGCCGAAAATTCGCCGTCGCGTCTACTGAAAAAAAAAACATGATTCAAAACTCTAATTGTTTCGCAAGGTCGATCACCACTGACTGTTTCAAACTTCCTCCATTCAAATAGTCTTATTGTATTTCAATACCTCGTATCTCTGCACTTGGTTGACTGTCATCAAGCTCGGGCAGTATTAATGTACTCATGGAAAATAAATTATCGGTGTAAGCATTAATAATCCTTTCGGAGACTTTATTAAACGGTTTCATCCCAATAACCTGAATAACTAAATAAATAATACGATCAATTCCAAACATATGTTAAGATATATCAATCAATTCTAGTGATATTAATCAATAGTTCGTATTAATCAATAGTTCGGTTCCTCAGACAGTCGAGAGTGTGAAAGAGCCAAGGTCCATCCCAAGGGTCGGGTTCACAGTAAAGGTCACCCAATTCGTTGTTCTTAGTCAAACGGGATTTGAAAGGTCAAGCCCTGCTTGCATTTGGTCAACGTGTCTCATCAAAACTGGAGTGTTGAAGTCGTCAAGGTTATTGCTGGCTTGCATGGCTGCAGCTCCTATTGATAGCTTTTACTATGGTAGGCTTTTTTTCTTGGCTCTAACCAGCATGAACTTGCACGTCCTCGCTGCATACACTGTTAGAAAAAATTGTGAAAAAACGGTCCCACTGGCGTTCTAGTCGCCGGTCGCCCCGTGAAAATAAACCGTTTCGCCGGTTTTATCAGATTTTTACGGATTTCTAGTGTTAAATTAGAATAAAAACGGCGACACGGTGTTTCTTTTCACGTACCGACCGGCCACTGAAACGCCGGTAATACCGTTAACGGTCATTTTTCTAACAGTGTACTGGCTGTGATTTCGGTGATACACGAGCTTTTTATTGAAAAGTTTTTGTCGGTGAGATTTGTGCTGCTTATACTTCAGTTATTTGTACTCTTCTATAGGCTTGCCAAGAATTTTCTCACGCATCACTTGGTACCAATTGCAAAGTCAATTTACGCCAGTGACTTCCAATCATTTTCTCCTTCCTACCAATTTCACATTTTTTATTTTATTTATTTGTTTTTTCGTTGTAACTCCTCCATTGCCCATTGGAAATAGACGCATTTAAATGAGGGTTAAGTTCGTTGGGAAACGTTACCCTCTGTTTCGGCACCTCTGAATAACACGTAATGCTCGCACTACAAATCGAGTCTCTTGCAAAGGATTTATGATCGCGATTATGACTTGAATATACCGCTTAAAATTCACTTAATCATTCCGTATCTTTGGATCTCGTTCATGCTTCTGGATTTAGAACAATCGATACATTGAAACCATTTTTTTTTCAAAATATCGTAATTTGTTACGATTCTATTTCCTAACTATGTTACATAACGACTTTGTCCTAAAACTTTGACTTACCTTTATTTTATTATGATTATTTTCTTGATTTGTTGTCCATGTATATTTTATGTGATCAAATTTGACACGAGAGTTTAATAATAATAATTGCATCTGCAACTGTCATTGCAGATACCCTACAGCATCAACATTCTCTTATCATTTTGAATTCTCAAGAGTTGTGCCCGTACTTCTCTTAAAATATAGTCGACCCGAATATCTAAAGTCATCTTTGATCACCCATATGACGACAAAGATTCTCGGAACATCCCCATCTTCTCAGACCTTCTGCATCCGACATTTTTATTCGCTTGAATTTTTTTAATTCTCTTTAGAAGTTTTTTTTTTAAATACGAGGAACTATTCTTTATCCATTTTTATTGCTAAAACATCCCTCTTTGACGGAGCCTTTTATATCTCCATTTTAGGACGTTTGGGCCGCGATGCCTGAGTTCCATTTCACTGTCGACGCGCCTCTCTCTTTCTCGTTCTCTTCGTGACTGTGAAGCTCCCAAGCCAATAAAGAGACGCCGATAAACTGTCGTTCATCATGCTACATTCAGTTATATATCTTAAGGGTTTTTGGGCGGCCAGTGAATAGCATAGGAACGGCCGGCGATAACACGGCTATAAAATGAGTTTGGAAGATGTAATTTTTGGTGCCGTTGGATGACCATTCTTATGCAACCGAAATGTATTCTACTCAGAAACCTGCTCTCTCTTTGAATTGCGTAAAAAAATCTGCCTCAATGCAAAGCTCTGCAACAAATAAGTTTTTTTTAATTGTTGAAGAAGTGAAAGTGTTCAATGTTGCAACAAGTGTTGAATTAAATGCCAAAATTTAGAGGATGGAAGCTTGAGATATATGTATTTTATTTTCCATTAATAATAGAATCCTGTAATCCTGTAATTAATCGAGTTTTATGACATAGCACAACACGCAGTTTTCATTTGTGGTCATCATTTGAGTAGGATTCATTTATAAGCTGCATGGCAGCAGGCGTGAATTGAATATTTTTGAATCGAAAAGTTATGTTCGTAGACAGAGTTCGCGCAACATACTAGACGAATCTTACGATGATCTTAAGTATCGGAAGAAAAGTCGTAAATATCTTCCCTAATTTTAGCATGGGAGGTTACTCTTTCTTCTATACGTACGTGGATGTCAGGCATGTTTTTTTACTGACAAGTTATCATTTCAGACGCTAAAATCTGCAATCACTATCTCAATCTTACGGCACTGAGTTATCCAAAGAAATTATATCCGAAAATCTCTACTGAAAAAAAATTGCAGGCGGGAAACTCGGGTAAAAAGGATCCCGTTTTGTACTACGTACGGCTTTAATCTCGCTTTAAATTTAATAGTAATATCAGTGTTCGTGCTGCTATCTTAATCATCTCATCTGACATATATCTTAGTATCTTAATATCAGTATTCTTAAATCAGTATCCTGGCTGCTGTGTTCTAAATTAATGTATCCGTGTCAACATTTTTACTGCGAGCGAGTTTTTTTACTGAGGCATATGCTGCGCAGGTGTTGCAATCCGCTGCAGAGCTAACCATACGGTCGTAATTATAAGGAACGAGTTTGTGAATTGTGTTCTTTACTATGATTTACTGCTGATGCCGTCTCCTCTGGACCCGCCAACACTGAGTTATTTATTGCCAACAATAAGAAAAACAATGCGAATAAACAAGCCATGGCCATCTCATGAAAATATCAGTCATATAATTTGAGCGAATTGACACGTTGAATAAGGTGCCAAAAGTTTTTTTAAATCATATTATACACTGAGAATAAGAATAGTGCAATGGTGGTCAAATTCATGCTAAAGAGGATTGCGTTAGCACTTGCAGGCTGCAAAAGCATGCATCTTGCGTTTATGATCGCCGCTATAAAGACGGCCGTCGGTAAGTTCAAGCTATTCCTCACAGTTCGCTGATACTTATAATTGTGATTGAGAACTGCTCGCTACTGAATAACTTTACTCTTACCCAATATGCATAAGTTTTTGTGTGGAGAATGGGATCTACAGAGATCAGTTGCAGTCGCGAACGGACGACCTTGGCGTCCTAACATTGTTTATTCCCTGCAACTAAAAACTCGTTTACTTCCTTGAATGGCTGGAGTTTCGGTCGCAATTCTGTTAAATGTTTTAATTAATTCATTATTGCAAGGTCTATGCTTTTAATTATACCGAGTATTCAATTTAGCTCCATTTTGTCGCTTATCTAAGAATTTTCAAAATGGCAAATGGCTATTCATTTTTTAATCATAAAAATTGTAAAATTAATTTGCTTGTATAACTTTTTATTGCCATCGACACTTATCCTAATATTGATGAAGACTCCAATTTTGTACATTATCCTTTTCAATTTTATTTCTTAGATAAATTATTGTAGTGCAGTTTGTTTGACTGTAGCGTTCAGATAGAGCAGCCTGTGAGGTGCTTTAGATAGAGCAGCCTGTGAGGTGCTTTAGATAGAGCAGCCTGTGAGGTGCTTTAGATAGAGCAGCCTGTGAGGTGCTTTAGATAGAGCAGCCTGTGAGGTGCTTTAGATAGAGCTGCCTGTGAGGTGCTTTAGATAGAGCAGCCTGTGAGGCACTTCGAACATTCAACTAGCAACACGGTTTCTTGCAACTATTTTTAAATTGCAAACATCTTTCTCTTTTTTTTGCGAAATTGCAACGCGCCCATTGGAAAAAGAAGCAATCTGTCGACTTATTTATTCGGTGTATTTGTCCATACCAGCCATAGTCGTGTGGGGCATGTTTTTTATTAGCTTTTTAGCGCATTTTCTCATTTTTGGAAAAAATGCACTATTGTGTTCGCCATGTCTTGTCTGTCTGTCCGTCCGTCTGTCCGTCCGTGGCTTCACGTTTTCGTCGACGAGAAAATGCGCTCTCTGTCACTCACTGCAGTGAGTACTGAGTAATATTTTTTTCTTACTACCTTCGCCCCAGCTTTGCAGAGCGTGCGATGAATGAACAAGCAAAGTATGCTCCATGGTGTTAAGCTCCATGGTCCCTGCTTTTTATTCAGTAACAGGTCTCCTTCAATGATTAATGTGATTTGTTCTCCCCCCGCAGACGTGGAGATGAACAAGCAAAGTATGCTCCATGGTGTTAAGCTCCTTGGTCCCAGTTTTCTATTCAGTGACAGGTCTCCTTCAATGACTAACGTGATTTGTTCTTCTCCCGCAGACGTGGAGACCTGCCCCAACTTTGAGACGCCCTTCCACACCGTCTCCACCTGCAGGGGCGTGTCGGAGCTCATTCAGGACGGGTCCTGTGAACCTCAGGTCACCTGGTCTAAAGGTGAGCACTGCTAATGTCTTGTGTTGAGTACAACCTCACAGGCTTGAATGTGGAAACGCTTTTTGAGGTCGGAAATTATTTTAATTTTATTGTAACTGAATCATCTAAAACTGCTGCATGAATGTGGAAACGTTTATTGAACTTGGAACTTATTTTAATTTTATTGTAACTGAATCATCATAAACTGCTGCATAAATGTGGAAACGCTTTTTGAAGTCAAAATTATTTTAATTTTATTGTAACTTGATCATCATAAACTGCTGTAGGTACGTCCATTACCAAGTTTAATTTTTAACAATGTACAGTAACTGGGTAATAAATTAACAGGGTTCATTTACTGATTAAAATATTAAAAACCTTGACTAATTCTAATTTTAAAACGATAATTTAATAATTCAGATCTTAACAAAGTTAATTTTTTAATTCAAATCCTAATAAAGTTCTTTTATTTTATTCAAATATTAACAACGTTCATTTACTTGCAAGTATAAAGAGAGTTTTTTTTATCAACTTCAAGTATCAGAAATCCTGATTCACGCTTCAAAAACTCGAGACGCTCCTCAAACGAGAAATTAACTTTAACCTTTTACTATAGAGTCAATTTGTCGTATTCAATTTTCAAATTGCCGACATACTATTAAATTCATTACCCACTTTTACTTTTAACAACAGTCAATCCATCTTAGTGGTGTAAGTAGTTGTTTAAAAATGTTTGAATTACGAATGATAAAATTTTTAAATTAATCATGACCAATAACCTTTAGTGAGTTTTCTGATCTTCGTAAATCAGGATTTACTTTGCTTTTCAGGCATAATAAGCACACCGTGTAATTCATAAGCCAGATTTCACTGTTATCGCTGTATTCAATAATAGATAACAACATCAAATATAAAAGAATAATTGTTAGTTGCTTTAACACTCAACTTGAACTTTTCTGATTACTAAGAAGTTTAATCTTCATTGAAAAGCTTAAACTGATCCACAAATTTGTTTCTTAATATTGGTGAATCAAAGAGACCTTCGAATAATGTTGTAACAAAATAATGCTACAAATAAGCATTGATTTGTTATAAACTCATTTGTGAAGCTTGATGAATTGACTCATTAAAACTCGAACGGAAATAATCGGAAGCTTTATTAATTATTAATTACTAACGACATTTCCCAGTTTTTCAAAGAGTTTCAACTCTTAATAATATTCCTAATATTTTCTAGTGGCGACATTACCCCTTATTTTCAAAAAAATATCGAGGATCGCATCTTAAAAGTATTCACATCGACGAAAATAATGGAACTTTGTCCTCTTAGCCGAAAATTTCCGTGTTGAAATGCCGCTCTTGGATTGAAACCATCTAAGTCAAGAATATGAATATTTAACTACGTATGTGTCAAAAGTTCATTCTGTTTCCAGTAATGGATGAAGATTATAGTTAATGGATCGGCTACCTGATAAGTAAATGGAAAGTTTATTTATTCAAATAATTAATCTTCGTGTTTGTTCAATGCTGTTTATGAGCATCAAGTTCCACTCAGCAACCTCATGCCAATTCTGATTAGTGCGCCTACAAATGCCTTAATTTGTGCATGTTTCCGCCATGCATCGTTAGTGAAATGTTCTCTAGAGCTACCAAGTTTGGATTGGATAGAAGCAAAATCTTACTTTTTTGCTGATGAAAGAATTTTTTACGAAGAAACTTTCCTGCGTTCATCTCCATAGATAACTTTATTACTATATATAGCGTAAAAGTCTCATGTTTGAGCCGGACTTACGTGAATCATTCATACCAATCTAAATGACTTCCTTTCCACTTTAAGCACTTACGGTCTAGTTTCCCCTGTGGTAAATTAATTTTCATTCCATTTTATTTACAAAAAGGAACTAGTTTACATACGTAATTATTACTGCTTGGAATCAGTTTTTTGTTCTGAATTTTTAACCTCCGTACTGTTTTCTATAATTTTTTGATCGCCGATATTCGATGCTCCTCTGCATATCTCAGTTATGGGACGGTTCCGGTGGAAAGTTTCCTTTCCCTGCCTCATTTTCTGTTTATATTCTCTAGACTGCGAATGACTGGCAGTAATGAACGGGTTGATATAGACGCACCTGTATTGTGACCTACCACACCCACGAGCATTTCGCTCTCTCTTGACCACGCGTATAGCAAGGCCATTCATATATAACCCTCAACCTTTTATGCTAGAATTTCAACAATTCAATCTGATTCACTTTCTTCTATAATTCTGTAAATTGAAATAGATACGCTTGTTGAAGATAATACTTATATGTTATTAACCACTTACGTGATATAATATAAAATTTAAAAACATGTCTATAATACGACAATCAACAACTTCAGTCCATCTTTATAGACTTCGCCCAATATTTTTCTTGTGCAATCATCGATAAGTGGTCAATGAACCGCTATGGTGCTACATAAACCATTCCTATAGGTATATTTCATAGTGAACTTGGTATTCTAAACATGAATTTGTAAATTAATCCTCAATTAGCCGTTCTAACTTTGATCATCGACTATTAAGAGGATACTATTATTGAATAATACGAGACTTCTTGTCGAGAAAAATTTGTCTTAAAACTGAACAATTTATCACAGTTAATTATTCATTTAATCAATCGCGTAATGACTTAGTTTGTCACTATGCAAGTAGTTGAATAAATAGACAATTTTTGTCATTAATATGTTTGTTTGCTATTTACTTACAACTGACTCGGTTACATGAGCAATTGATCATGTGTACTAGATTTATCCGTGGACTAAACATACGAAATAACATGCGTGCTCTGACGCTAGTCGTGCTGGACTTCTTGTTGCAAATTGAGTAAAATTCCATTATATTTTGCGGTCAATCATTCCTGGATATAAATATTAATGTACTCTTTGCAATTCTATCTATATTTGATATTTATACCTGTACCCTAATTGTAATTTCATTTAATTATCTTTAAATGTGCAATGACAGGTTCGATGTGCGACGCCGTCTGCGAGACCGGCTACGGTTTCTTCAACGAGCCCGCGCCTAAATACTCCTGCGACCAGGGGGGGCAGTGGAGCCCTGTTGGCAAGGCCCCCGAGTGTTACGGTCGGTCATCTTATAGATAGCATAATTAATAGATTAGCATAAGATTATAGCATAATTGTTTGAAAATTAGAATAATATGTTGCTATTGATTGATCTTTGTAGAGTCAAGGCTGTTTAATAGGAGAGCCCGATGTTCAATAGCATAATTGCTTGAAAATGAGAATAATATGTTGCTATTGAATGATTTGTATAGAGTCGAGACTGTTCAATAAGAGAGCCCGATGTTCAATAGCATAATTGTTTGAAAATTAAAACAATATGTTGCTAGTGAATGGTCTTTGTAGAGTCAAGGCTAAAATAGACCGATGCTCAAGTTAGCCATCTTAGAAATATATACATTTGTAAATTATAATAAGCATCTCATGAGTGATCCTTGTTAAGTCAAGTCTGCTCAATAAGATACTCATGAGTCTTATGGTCAGTCACTAATGAACGACATCATTTAAATTAATTTAATTCAAGTTAGTTTGCATTGCATCCTCATTTTTGCTCATGAGTGTTCAATGACATTTCATTTGATAATTAAAAAAGTTCATTTATTTACATCAGCTTCACCGGTAATCGCTGTTTATTCAATGAACCGCTGTTTCTTTAGAGTTGTATCAGTCTACTTGATATCTGTTCTTCATAGGCCAAATTTAGATTCACGTAATGGTGAATGACTGGGCCAGTGTATAATAAAGCACGGAATGAATTATTATTCGTGTTCTACACGCGTAAAACAAAAGAATGCGTAAAGGAGGTTATTGGCTGCATTGTAGACAATAGTTTCCTACAGTTCCCTGCCCTTTCCGCTCCACCAGAATAATCCTATGATGGCTTTAGTAAAAACGCGACCAGTGCTACTGACATTGAGCACTCGGTCTATATGCGCTAGCTTGTATTTAGAATTAAAGGTCAAGTGTTTATGATTTGCTGACATTTCGGTAATTCACAGAAATTGTGCCGGTGCACTCTGCGAACTTGCAGTTCAAGATCACATACCAGCAGCAGAGCATCGAAAACCTGCAGCACCAATTCGACGGTCTCGTCTACAAGTACAACGACATCTTCTGCCCGTACCCAGAGGAGTGCGGCATCGGCGACCTACAGATCAAGAGCAGTGTAAGTTTTCTTGTAATTTTGCTGTACTTTTTCTCTTGATGAAAATCAGAACGAGAAGTTATTAATGATAATTTTACAAAATTTCGGTACTGTTCTACCAAATTATAACCATATTTCTACCCAGGTTTGGCACAAATTTTCTATCACGACTTCACCTCGGTAGTCGTGAAAGCTTTCTAATTCATTATTTATTACTTCACAAAGATATTTGCACACAAGATTCTTTCTCAGCAATTTCCAGCAGGTTTTCAAGAAATATATGCAGCTCCAGCATTAAATTTTGCTTTCTTCATTTGCTCTTCGTGTTATATTAACACATCGATGGGAATAATGTGATGTCAAATTGGATTTGGGTTTTTACGGAACGACTGGACGGGGCCTCAAAGTACGTAGTACTCGTAAAAAGGTTGAGAACCACTGAAATTTTGCGTTGAAATAAGCGGTGCTACTCACCAGTTTAGTCCTTGGTTAACAATGACTTATACATCCGTTCGTTTTCCATTTTCAAGAAGTTTTATAGTCGTTTTCGCGATTTTTGAGCTAAAGGTGGGAGCTTGAAGTTGAAGACTTAGTGCAAAGCTTTGAGTAAGTGCGCTTGCCTGTGCACATCATTGAGATACACAAAAGTACACAAAATATACACTGAAGTACACGCAGCGTACACAGAAGTGTACGCTGCGCATCAGGGTGTTGACGCCGTCATGCGTATCATTGTGATGCGCAGAAGTGTGCGCTCGTAAAGCACCGCGCTACGTTCCCGCCCTCGGCAATAAGCTGGCATGGAACTAGCTGCTCGCGATTAATTGTCATGCCTCCGGGCAATTGACGTTAAAAAACGTTGATTGCGCGTAGATTTCGTTGAAACAACGTTCAATCAACGTTATTTCAACGTCAGATGCCTATTGGGATAGGTTATAGAGTTTTGCAGCGTTGCTGCAAGAATAAAATTTATACTACGTGAATCTACTTTTTATTATTTATTTCTTTTATCCGATAAATATTTCATTTATCCGATCTTGCGTTTAATAATTGTTTATTCTATTGTTCTCGGCAATTTTAATTGATGATTTAATCTAACGAGCAACAATGGGAGACAAGATTTAACGCACTTATCAAGTCATACGTACTCAATATGCAAGAAACATGTAATTAAATATCATCGAATCTTCAACTTGTAAATCAATTAATTACTAATGGATGATTTCCTAATTTCCCAAGTAATCTTCTACTCAGATTTATTTTCTAGTCGTTTGACACATTGCGATTGTTATAGAAATTACCATACCTAAAAGCTGTGGCTATCGGCAAAAAAAAGTTGAATTTTCGTTAAGTGAACTTTACGCATAAATCCGTTAACGTTATTCCAATGCTACTATGTTCACTCAAATTTATGTTCGGATTCTGCGGCCGGGTTCTACCGGTTATACGATTATTTTACAACAATTACCGTCAGTAGACCAAAGGATAGTTATAGATCGTTAGATTGTATTCAGTAATTCAATTGATGCAATACTTTTTCTACGTTTAATCTATCACAACGCTGAATCTGGCAGGCGGATGCGGCTGGCAATAAGTTGAGCGAGGTGATCATCACGATCGACACTCCCGTGTACAACATCACCGACCAGTCTGGCTTCATTGACCTCGTGAAGGAAGCCGTGCTTACAGTGAACCAAGACAACGCCTTCATGACGCTCATCGACTACGACAACATCGAGCTCGTCCTCCCCACCACCGTCAACAGCCAGTACAAGGCGGAGCCCATGCTGTGCTGCCACTCCTGTCCCGACGGTCATGCTTACCGTCTTGGCAACTGCGGTGAGTTCAATTATCGTGCATTGGCAACTGCGGTGAGCTCAATTATCGTGCATTGGCAACTGCTGAGAGTTCTAGAATTACATTCTTGGCAACTGCGGTGAGTTCAATTATCGTGCATTGGCAACTGCTGTGAGTTCAAGAATTACATTCTTGGCAACTGCGGTGAGTACAAAATTAGGTAAAATACAACTGCGGTGAGTTCCAGAATTAACGTCTTGGCAACTGTGGTGAGTTCTAGAATTACATTCTTGGCAACTGCGGTGAGTTCTAGAATTACCTTTTTTGCCAACTACAGTGAGTTCCATAATTATGCATTGGCAACTACGGTTGGTTCCATGCTTGCCGACTTGTAACTCAAGCGTATTTCAGTTCTCATCTTCAATGCAACTGCTGTTAGTTCCAAGCTTCCCGAATTTCAAAAGCGTTGTAACGTCGTCTTTGAAACGCGCTGACTCGCAAGATAGGCTTAGGCTTAGTCTTGGCCACTGCTGTAAGTTTAATGACTCTCACTGTCAAGGAATTGAGATCTTCTTCCAAGCTCTGCTGGGCCTCAAAAACTAAGACTGGTATCAAGTATCTAAGTTTCTATAGTTCACACTATGTTTCGGAAACAGAGCCAGTTCCCGAGCCTCACCTGTAGTCTTGTGGGAGAGTTGTTTCAGTAGCTTTCCTTGAATACAACTTCGACGGGTTGTTCATATTTTCTCTGGTCCACTATATTTCTGATGTTGTTGCCGATGATCCTGATTTTCGACCCCCAATCTGTAGTTTGTGCCCTTTTGATTTTAATTTGCATTCCTGTTACAGTTTTGTGTCCACCCGGTGGCCCTTGCGACAACGCCGTCTAGAGAGACTTGTCACCTGGCAACAGATGGCACCTGGAAACAGATGCCACACTCCACAGATGTCACCTGACAGCAGATGTCAGCGCCAAAAGAACTACATCATCCGATTAATTTCCCGAAACCAATTTTTACCATTGTTAAAAATTTCGTTGAAAAAATATTAAAAACTAGCCACTACTTATGATCCATACATTAATTTAATTAATTTTTCTCCATATGATGTCGTTGATTTTCAAACATACCTTCACAAAAACTGAATCAATCCAAAACAATAGCACCGTTGGAGCGTTACGTGTGACGGAGAAATAAATATATCCATGTTATGAATTATTTGCTCATTTCAATGAAAAATCTTAGGACGATGGATGATGCGTTTTTTCATGCCAAAAATGATCCATATGATATATCCTTCCGTCCAATGCTATAGTCGTCAACACGTTTGTTACCTCTTAGCTTCATGATAGCGCTCGTTTTCTGACGGATGTGCAATATATTTTAATTATTTGAGGTTGATGTTGAAAATTTTAATCTTGTAAATTGGTCGCAGTATAAGCCAGTACATTTCTGGTATTGTTGCTTAAAAAAAACTATTTTTATAACATTTATCTTCTAGAATGGTGAAAATTACTTTGGATTTGTCTAAAAATGCTAGATTATTTCACTCCTATAAAGTAAAACAGCATAATATATCTAACTAATATGAATGAAGAAGTCGTTTACATTCTTTATTGTGGTTGATAAATAAATAATTGTTTATTTCAGACGCCATTTTGCAAGAGCTGCGCTACCACGTTTAAATTTAATTAGTTATTTAGATTCTCTTGATATTGATTTTTAAGCAATAAGTTTGTACAATCTTACCCCTTTGGACGTCAGTTACAGCTCTGTGTAACTGAGTAACTCTAATGATGCGTGTCACCTCACTCCTAGGAGTGTGAAAATCGATGCCGTGTTTAGTTGATAGTTATTTTTAAATCATATTTAGTAAAACATTCTCCTCTTAAAACTAAAACCTTCACCAAAATTTTTGTTTTTGAGCTAATTATTACTTTTTATTATCAGCTCACAATTAGAATAATTCGAAATCATGAACCTCTGTTACAACTAAATCAAGTATCCAAACTTTAGATGTTTCCTAGCTTATAACATAATCATTCTTCTCTTGCTCCAATAGTATTAAATTGTCCAGTGTTGATTCTAACGTCAGCGTTCAGATATTTCCAAAACTTCCGTGTACATACATTGTATAGCCCTAATTACTCAATAAACCTTCTCTCTCTCTATTCAACCCTTTTCACTATCCTCCATTCATATAAAGTGAGGAGGAATTATAAACGTTAGGGGCCGAAAGATAAGCGTGGAAAGCGAGTACGAGCAAATAGGACCGCTTTGTTGTTGGGTCTAGAGACGAGTGGATGGCAATGATAATGAAGGTGTTGGCGTTGAATTGGCCCACTATTGGCGCCAACACCTTTTGGCTACGGCACTAATTGGCCCATTTGTCGCCGCAGATTTTTGTCGTCGTTAGAGTTTTTATAGCTTGCTAGAGAGACAGAAGGCCCGAAAGCCTTCTTTTTGTACGCTAGTTGGAAGTATAAGACAAATGATCTGAAAGTAGACCAACGAAAAGTATCCTCGGATGAAAGGCTAACGTTCTTAATTAATCACATCTTTAGCAGCCTGTTCACAGATGAGGACTTGAACAGTATTCCAGATATTGAGGACCGCCCAGTCGGCTCAAAGTTAACAGGTTTTGAAATACACGAAGAAGAGGTTCTAAAAAGGTGACAAGAGGAGCCCCGGTAACTATCGCCTTGTCAGTCTGACAAGTGTTGTTTGTAAGGTAATGGAATCTGTTGTGAGGATAGGATTTTCGATCTCTTGACTGTTCACCATCTCCTATCAGACTGTCAACATGGCATTATTGACGGTATATCCTGCACAGTAGCCTCTTATCTATATTGAATGATTGGACTCGCTTGTTGGACGAAGGGGAGCCAATGGATGCATTGTACCTCGATTTTGCCAAAGCATTTGACAGTGTTCTGCATGGGCGACTGTCGCGTAAAGTGAAGTCTTTGGGAATGGAGGGGAACGTACTTGAATGGATGAGAATTTTTCTAGTAGGTTAACGACAACGTAATAACAGTATTAAACGGAACCGTGTCAGATTGGTCATCAGTGCGCTGTGGCGTGCCACAGGTAAGCGTTAGTGGGCCTATTTTGTTCGTTGCTTCTATAAACGATCTGCCAGAAGTAGTGTCCAGCGTGTGCTAGATGTTTGCCGACGACACAAAAGTTTACAATACAGTGAAGGATGCGTCAAATAAAGCGCAATTGCAACATGATCTTGGCAGTTTAGTTAACTGGGCTCATACGTGGCGGCGTCGTTTTAATGCGGACAAGTGCAAAGTACTTCACTTCGAGAAGAACAATGAACAGCAAGATTACAATATAAGAAGACATGGTTCCAACAAGAGTCATGATTGAAAACCCTAGTGTGGGAAAAGATTTGTGAGTTTATGTCGACAAGGAGCTGAAATTTTCTAAACATGTTGAAACGCAAGCTAATAAATCCAAAAAACTACTTGGACTAATTAGACGATCATACGAGTTCCTAGATGCAGAAGCGATGAAGCAGTTGTTTGCTGCTGTCGTGCGCCCGAACCTAGAGTTTGGAAACGCCGTGTGGTCACCGAGACTTGAAAAGGACAAAAAATTAATAGAGAAATTTCAAAGACGTGCAACAAGGATAATTATAGGCTTGAAGGGCAAGTACTATGAAGAAAGATTGTAGATTATGAAGCTTCCAAGCCTCTGTTATTGACGTCTGCGCGGGGACCTCATTGAACTTGAAGTATACAAGAAATACTCATGGTTTATACAAGGTCCCCGAAGGATTACTAGAATTGGAAACAAGAACCAACACTAGCCCAGGGGCCACGACTGTAAAGTTAAAAATATAACTCAGTACTCACTGCTGTGGGTACAGAGAGCGCATTTTCTCGTCGACGAAAACGTGGTCACGGACGGACGGATGGACAGACAGATTGACGGACATGACGAGTACAATAGTGCCCTTTTCCATTAATGAGAAAATACGCTAAAAACTGCGTAGCAACTCATTCACGCGACAACATTTCTTCTCGCTTCGAGTCACCGACATGTGGAACAGCCTCCTTGATTACATCGATAACGCTTCGAGTGTAAACGCATTCAAGAACAAACTAGATAATGCTATGTAAAAATATATGTTCAGACTCGAAATGCCTAGCACCATATCGAAACCGGTGGACGTAGCTATTTCAAACTATCGTCAGTCTTGAAAAGGTCCGGTCAAAGGAAAATTGGCTCAAATCTCTTAAAACAATGCCGTCAAGCACGCACAGTTAGAGTGCAAGAGTGCTATTTGATATTCCCATTTCGCGAGGTGGGCTAATTGTTCAGTTTTTCAACATATAACCGAGTAATTTGGCACTGACCGTAGGTCGTACAGGATAGGATAACATCGTGCACTCATATTCTGCACCATGTGCGATATCACCTTCTTGATCTTCGGGATATTTCGAGGTAGTATAGTGACTATCAGTGTGTCAAAATGGTGAAATCCAGATCATTGGGATATCTACAGTTAGCTTAGTGCCTATAATTGTGTCAGAAGATCATATTATCGAGCTCAAAACGTTTTAAACCTCAACTGATTAGCTCAATGGTTTCCAAACTGTGGCCCCTACACGGGCCCTTTTAAGGTCATTATTTGTTAATTTAAAAAAGGTTTACTGTAAAGTAATCCAGCGAAGATTTGAAACTCCTACCACATGGGTCAAGCGGTGTCCTTATTGTGAAATCTATGGTCTGACGAAGACTTAAAAACATTTAATTAAGAAAAATGAGGGCTGCCGCTATCGAACTTATTTCGTAACAAGCTAATCGTAAAATAAGAGGTTTATCAGGAATATTTTCATATAAGGTTTGAAATTATGCTTATTTATTGATGAAAATTTTCTTGGTTGACTATTTGAAATCAGCCGTTGTAGAACTGACAAAAATACCTCTGAAGTATTAATGTTGGCAACGCTTAGCTTTCACCCTCCCTTGCACAGCTGATTTCGTCCCTGTGAGTATAAGTAGTTGAAAACGTGAAGTTGAGTAACAGCTGGACCACCATTTGCCATTTGAGCGAATCTTGAGGTGGTGGAAGAAACACGTGTCTGTGTCTGTGCTATCGTGCTTACCCGAAAATCTTTTCAGTTTAGGTAGTTCAGTGTAACGGCTGAAAATATGGCTGAGTCTTCAGCAGGAATGTCAGTAGACCCATTTAGCGAAAACATCTCCGATTTAGCAGAATTCGACGGCTTCCCTTCAGACTCGCCGGTGATCGGAAGACCTGCAAAAACCAAGAAGCCAAGACTACACTCCAAACCCATCTACTCAACCGAACCATTACCAACTAGCAACCTGCAACGACACGCAACAGTAGAAAAGCCTGACTCTGTCACCTGCCTTCTGTTAAGAGAGGACAAGAAAGCTCTGCCTTTCAATTTCTACGCCCAAATTTCCACAAACTGGCCTGCCCTGAAACTCTTGGAACCGGACAGCCTTCACCGCAATGCCAAAGGCACACTGATCACAGGTAAGACATCTGCCACCAATGCAGAGCGCCTGGCCAACCCAGAGCTAGCAGTCCACGAACAAGGTGGAATAAAATACATTCTGCGCATACCTAAAGCCCCATCGCCATATCAAGGAGAAGTCGTGTTCGATTTAACGGACATGGAAGACAAGTCACTTCTAGGATTCTCGCCAGAAGAATTAAAGGCTCAGCTCTCCTTGCCCTCTAGCCAAAATGCGAATAGAATCCTATCAGTAAAAAAGTTATATCCAAGCCACGTTGTGGTAGACCCCCAAAACAGCCCTTTTCTATCAATGCGGATCGCAATTGAATGTTCCACTGCGGTGCCAGACAAAATATTCCTCCACAACGTCTCACTTACGGTCCACTCCTACCTCGCGCCTCCGCCCCGCTGCTACGGCTGCCAGAGGTATGGTCATGGCTCCATATCGTGTAGAAGACGAGTAGTCCGTGCCCGATGCTCAGCAACCGACCATGTTGTACAGAACTGCAAGGCTGACAGTCCAAGATGCGCTTCATGCAAGGGCCCTCACCCAGCATCATCTCCTCGCTGTCCCTTCTACGGTAAGGCTCTGGAAATTTCTACCCGAGTAGCAGCAAGACAGATCTTTGCCTAGGCCTCGCAAAGCTGATCATCACGTGCGAAAGACTGATTTGGCCGATTAAATGGAAACTAGCAGTGCTGAAAAGAGTAAAAAGATGCGAGTCTTGGTTCGCAATCATGAAAATGCATCATTCCTACTCCAAAATATCAGCCGAAATTAGCAGACGTCCGTTTTACATAGAGCTATAATGGTAGAAAATTGCATGCCAGTTTCAGTGAAGAAATTTTCCGCTGTATTTACAAATAATAAGGACTTGTTTGATTTTACGGACCTCCAATCATGCACCGAAAAAATGACCTCCTTTCTAAAAATTGATTTTGGCATGTGAGGCAATACAAAATTACTCATACAATAAGTTTTGTATTTATTGCTTATTATTCTTTACCTAGAGCGCTTGGAAATTCTAAAACGATCGAATTTATAAAAAAAAATAATGAGATTGCTAATTTTTCGACTTTTCTGCGATTTTTTTCTAATGTGGTTGATTGGTAAACGAAGCTTGCTGTACGTAGTTGCTTCGAATTCTGTACGCGAAATGCAAATAATCAGTATAATGCCAATGTACCAATGAAATAATAATGCAAATGTACCATAACTTTTGTCGTGTATACAAACACATTATTATAGAATAATTAAATTCTATCGAACCCTACTCAAATGAAAACTTGAATTTCGTTTAATCCTTTCTTCTCGTCAAAATTTTTGTTTTTCCGTCATACTCAGAATAAATTTTTTTCTCTTAAGTCCCAGTAAAAAATAGATGATATAGTAATTTTTTGCATTCGTTCATCTTTTCTGCCCCAAATGAGCCCACACATGAGAAGAGCTGTGAATTTCTTTGTAATTAATTGCGTAAACCAACGATACAATTTGACATCGTTGGCAGCGGTGGTAAGGCAATCTCATTGTCTTTCATTACTACTTTGAGAAATGGCCTAGGGAGAGTGTCTTCATTTTAGGTTGATGCTTTGGGGTTATAATCAAACGTCATTCTCATTTATAAACGAAACCCAATGCATGCTCTAGGAGGTTTATCATCGGGAAC